TGGCCCAGCAACCAACTAAAGCTAATTTATATTTTACTGCCAAAGATTTGAGTTAGATTTTGCTCTTCTCTTTTAATATTTTATCATGTATTTTTATAGCTTTCATGTAAAAATAAATCTTTATTCCTAATTCATCATCCTATAGAACATTCCCTGATAAATAAAGGTACAGTGAGTGTAGATGCAGTCAGGAGACAGAAATAGCAAAAGGATGGGGCAAAGGGGGGTGACAGGTAGAGAGAGAGCTCGTGTGAGATAAAGTATAAAAGAAAAGTGCACTAAAGCAGAAGAAGAGAGCAGTTTAGAGGCAGCAGGAGAAAAAAAACAGACAGAGAGGAATAAACACATGTAGAGACAGAGAAAGAGGAGTATGGAGGGAGAGAGAGTGACATGTGCAGGGAGGATGAGTCTGAGAGGCCCTCAGTTCCACTTGACTCAGTCATGGGAATGATTTGATTATCACCACATGAACAGCTGTCTTATGTAACACACACACAGACACACACATACTGAGAGAGAGAGAACTCAAAAATAATGAGGGGTCTGTGTGTTCTGGCCAAAACCTGCGCTGAGCAAAGGTGGCCTGTAGCAACAGAGAGACAGAGAGTAAGAGAGAGAGTCTATGTCAAAGCAAACTCACAGACAGGGTCGTCCAGGTCTCTTTCTTTTGTCACAGGAAAAAATAAAGTAAAATGCACCAAGGTTTCTACATTTAGCAGCTGGGATAATTAATATTAAGGATATGGGTCAGGAACATGGATGTGGAAACGTGGAAATTGGCATTGTAGCTGCTAAATGTGTCTGTCTGCGGTTCAGTGCATGTACAGTGCGTTCAGAGCAGCCCTCTGCTGCACAGGTGTGGATTTCGGGGGGTTGGCTGTAACAGGTTCTTCTCAAATCAGGGAAGTTATAGTGGTAATGGACAACTGTTCAGCTACCACTTCCAAGTGGCATCAGTGTTGGTGCTGCTGTCACAAAGACAAAGATTGCTATCTGTTTTCCTTGCAGCTACCAGTTTCCGCAGTTTCTTTGGTTGTTTCTTCTGGAGATAGGAACTGCAAAGAACTTACACTGATACACTTTGGTAATGGGGGATAGCTATCAGAGAAAACAAAAGTGTTATCCTCTTCCTGTTTTGAATGCATGATGGTCTAAACACTTTCTTTGTGCCATAAATCAAGCATAATTTTCCAGGATATCATACACGGTGGCAGACAGAATTGCTTAGTGAAAGTGAGGCTCATAGGGAACCAATCTACACATTTATGGTGTCATTATTCTTTTGCCATTAGATTGTGCAAAAACATTTACTTCAGGATGATAAGTTAAGGCAAAAACATTTTCTATTTACACTTTAAAATCTGAAATAACATGTTTTTCTGTCATTCAGTTGGTTAATCATGTCTATCGGTGAGTCGGTGTCCTTTTATATTGAATTGTTTGTCTGTTTTATGTTCATTATGTCACAATTCCCTTATTGTAACACATTTTGTGCTGCATTTGTTGTATGAAAGGTGCTATATAAATAAAGTTTATCATTATTATTATTAATGGATTGCAGGAGAATATTTGGTTTCGAGAGCTTTTGAATGTTAAAAGCTTTTTAGTAGGTTAATTTAAAACAAAGTTCACTTTACTCAAAGGGTAACTTTCATTTTTCAACCCATATTTTCCCATGTTGTTGTGTCTATGTGACAGATGTGAACAATAGTTTTTGAAATTGGTCCAGTACTGAGAGAGAGGGCTGCAGCTGGCAGCTGCACAACGCCTGCAATGTAACCAGATGGGGCAACTGTTCACCATCGCTGTCGTCCATTAAAAGTGGTTATTTTTGCCACAGGCAGGCTCAGATTATTATAATTTTCTTAAGTGTGTCTTTACATTTCACTTGATCCAGTCTGTTGGAAAGTGTATCTCAGGGCTCATTTATGCTCAACGTTAAATATGAAGACAGAGGTGGAGAGAGTCCATACTGCGTTTATTCCATTCATATCTGTGCATGTTTTCTGAAAGCTTACAGATACAGACGAAACAGAGCAGTACCACCAGAGATTGTGGAGGCAGTGAAGTGTGGTGAAAAGAATTCTCAGTCCGCATGTTGGGATGTATGTATGGCTGCACAGACCACTGCTGTCTACAATGCTGCCTCAGTTTAAAGGTACAACATTATGACCTCCACCACCACTTTGTTAGTTGCTGGATGAAACTTTGGAATCTGCCCTCTATAAATACGTATGTATGAAGGCAATGACATTTACAACGTTTGAAACAGACATATCTATTTTCATGGTAAAGGAAGTATAAATAAGACTTAACTCTAACATACCTTTGTCGTTGTTATGGAGAGAATAGTACCAGGAATAATTTGTTTTGCTGGAGTATGACAAAGGTTGAAAAATGCTGAAGTTACCATTTAATGTAACTGTTGTAGCGTTGATGCTCATCATAAGTTTGTTTCTCATGCTCCAAACTTGTTTATTGTGTCCTGAGGGAAGCCACACTGACACTATCTGCCTGCTGCACAGACATTATATACTTACAGACATACAGTAGATGACCTTTATACTGACAACATGCAGACAACATGGCAGGCAACTTTATTTTTACGCTGTCTGCCCATATTCATTTACACATGTCCAATTTTAGCTTTCCACTTAATAGACTAAATCAAATTAAATCAACGCACAAACACACAACCTCTTATTTCAATTGAATCAAACTTTTATATATATATATATATATATATAGATATAGATATAGATATAGATAGATCTATAGATATGTTGTTGTTGTTTTTACATTACATTTTTTTTATCTCTGATTTGTGCAGTATTATTAAAGATTATAATTTGGAGCCATAATTTCAAGTTGTGTAAAATTAAAAACTCTCAAGTCATCTGTCGATCATGATCAGATGAAATGTTGGGTTGGATTAAGTGGTTAATGTTCGTCTGTGACACATTAGTTTCTAATCAACCATAGAATAATTAGTTACCAGTAGCACCATTTAAAACCAGCGCAGTCCTGCTGCATTACATCCATTACTCCCACTGTAACACTCTGCTACAGAAGGTTGAGCTCAGCTGACTTTGTCGACTCAGTTTCGCAGCTGTGTGTGTGTTGCTGTCAGCCCCTCACAGAGCCACTCATGTGGTTACATAATGACTGTTGCTCCTATGGACCCGGAGCCAGTGGAGGGTGAAGAAGGACTTAATGAGGTCTATTGGTGCGCACTGACAACTCCACACTGAACTTCACTGACTCTGAGGCTGGACACCAACAAAACCAGGGAAATAAAATGAACTCCTTAAAAATGTTGTCTTCATTTCAAATGTTAGATTCCATTGAAAGTGGGTCAGAGTGTTTTATGACATATTCAACAAAATATTGACTAAATTTTACAAAAATATAACAATATTGAAAAAACAAAACAGCTTTTGCTTGTAATGTAGTGAAATTAACCCTTTGTCCTCCCTACATCCAATGTTAGCTCTAAATCTGGGCTGCACCGAAGCTTTGAAGCTTTAATGTTAATGACTTGTGACTTGTGCAACTTTTTTTTATTGCATGTCTATTCATTCTGTTTAAAATTGGTATTTCTGCTCAATTGCAGATAAAGATTAGGCTACACTAATTTTAGTAGTATTGTACTATTTGTAGATTCCAGTGGTGGCTGTGTGGGATTGTTTCTGACTCATGTGATCCAAACATTTCCATAACCAGTGAGTGTTGTAAAAGTATAAAAGTGTGAGATGTAATCATTTCCAAAACTCACAGCACGTTTTATCTAAAGAAATATATATTTGCTCTGCCACACAAATGAAGGCACGCCCCTGTATTAATGTATCTAGCAGCAATCTAACAGAACCATAAATCACATTTAGGGCGCCACAGCAATAAAAAATCTAATTCAGCTTTAACAATAATTGAGCATAGCGTTAGTTCAGACAGGACACAATGTCAAACTCAGCTCACATCCCAGCTAAATCAGCTGATCTCAAACAGCCAATCAACTGATGGAGCAGCTGATTGATGGAAGTCAGCTGATGGATCACATGATTCCTTTCTATGCAACCAATTGGCATATCTCATTCAGGGTGTCCTGTTTAAACTGCTCTGGCCTGCCTACTGTTGCTGCTTCCTCTGCAGCTGCTTTGCAACCCGCCTCCACCCCAGCTCCTCCTTTTCATGCTGTGTCTGACATATCAATGTCATTTCTGTTTGTCATTGATGCTGCTCTGTTGTGTGTCCAGGGGGTCTTTGCTGCTGCTCTCCCTGCTTTAGGCTTTCCATGTAGGCGCATGGAAGGGCAGGGAGGTTTGCGCTCTCTGCCTCAGGCTTTCTGCAAAGGCCTAAGAAAGTCAGAGAGGCCCCAGAGCAGAGTCATACTGCCAAATATAATACTGCACAAGAAAAAACATTTTCTTTGACTAAAGTTGTTCTGACTGAATTATAGTAAATGACTGGTGTTGTTACTAAAAAAAAAGAGATATTATTTATCTGCATTCACTCTGTGCTCCATCATGATGTCATCACTTTCATACCAACAAGGACTGCAGAAAGATATCAGCATTAAAAAGACAGCATATTAATTTGGAATTTTGGTCAATGATTTTTTTTGTCTGTTTGTTTTAGGGCGATGACATCATCAATATGACATCAGACATTCAAAGCTTAATCTAAAAACCTCAATAGAAGCTTTGAATGTAAAAAAAAATAATAATAAAATTACATTCAGTACAGCCCTGTCTCAAACATGTAGTTTCTCCTCATCGTAGACATCTTAAAACAATAATTTCATTGTGATTACCATGTATGAACTCCACACTCAAAATAACAGCAAAAGCCTGTCTTCAGTTGTAATAACGGGGTGGTGTGGTAATTATGTACAAAGGCTGAAGCAGCGTGTTTCGAGCAGAGTAACCTGAGATAAATGGTTTTTGTTAGTTAGTGTTGCATGTTGGATTATCAGCTGTCAAACTCCAGAAGAACCTCACTCATTAACATACAGCACTGAATAAATCTTTATTACATAACTATTTTGTCTAAAGTCCAGAGGCCACTCACCCCTTATGCACTGCTGCTGATAGTTTACAGTGTTAATGTCCCTTTTGTTTAGCCAGCCAATAATTTGACAGTTTGTTTACTTTTAATGTCTTTAATTTGACTTAAGAAACCCTGATTCAGAGAGTGCCACATGGAGGCCAAAGTGAGTACAAACAGCAGGTTACAGACCCCAGGCTGATCAGACAGTCACTAAACTCAGTTAGCACAGCAGCAGTCAATGCAGAAGGCTGCAGAAAACACAAAGTAAAACAAACTTAAACACCCCTACACAGACGAGGAAGGGAGTCCAGTCTATTTGCACATTTTCCATAAATTCAAAGAAACATCAAAGTTAATACAGGACTTAAAAACAGACTTTTGTGGACTGAATAAGACAAATTAAAAGAATACAAAATAGCAGGCCTAACAAAATGACTAGTGATCTAGTCTACTTACAGTAAAACTCAATCGCAGAGAATCCTCTAAGATGTTACATCGCCTTTCAAAACAGTGTTGACAAGTGTCCGCTGAACACATTTTAATATCTGACATCACACAAAACAAACCCAGTGGATACCAACTGATTATCCAAGAAGACACAGCAAGCAAAGCCGCTCCAAACCTTTGGATAGTCACACACGCATAAATTAAGAAATAAATACAACACTTTTTGTTAATATCCGGAGCACCAGCAGGCGCTCAAAGTTAGAAACTGGATGCAAAGGACAAAAGAGTAAAAACGAGGCAGAAGACACCAAAAAATCAACCGACGACATAAATAAAAACCTTTTACACAATACATCCATGTAAAGTTTTCATGGCGGATGTTTACAATGGCAACTTCTTGAGGCAACAGAGACGGAAAATATTGCTGTCAGTGAGGTAAAAGACCAGAGAATGACACTGAGGGTGAAAGGTGGCAGGGTGAAAGTGTAAAAATACTGCTTTTTATTAACGCTGCCGATCTGTGTTGCCTCAAAACATTGACATCCTCAAAATCCTCCACACTGAAAAAAGGCGAGAAGAGCTGACTCAGCTGGAGAAAGAGCTCAAGGTGTTTGTTAGTACAGCTTTTCATACCTGCGTCCTTTTATCACCTGTATTATGTTGCACTGAAACTACTTGACCTTGGCTGGTTTTGCACACAAAAGAAAAGGCTAATAAATTCCTCCTAAGACCATGAACGTCATCCCAAAAAACTCTAATGGTATCAGAAACTGGCAGATTTTAAAAGACAAAAAAGATGACTTGCATTAAGGCCACAAGTTACGAGTTAACTCCAAAAAGTTGCAGCATCGAGAGCCCTAAGATATTTGTATGTTACTAATATCTCAACTAAATGTTTACACTTGTACACTCCAACGACACACACACACACACACACACACACACATTTTTACAGTGACACAGATTCAACTCAGAACGACATATCCTGAGATCCTCTATCTACAGTAGTAAACTGACTCCAGACCAGAGCTGTCCGAGTTGTCTGACTGTCCGTGCTGCTGTCCATCATCTGCCGTCTACTGTTTATGCTGCACTTAATGTCACTGTGAGAAACCGTAAGGAAGCAGTGTCTCTTGAAAACCATCAGTCATGACCTCATCCCAAAAAGTCCACATATACATATCCTGTAAGTTGAGGAAAACACTAAACATAAACTTACTAGATGGCCTTGGTTGAGCAGACTTGGCAAAGTGCGTCTCAATGACTGAACACTTAAGATCCGACAGTTGTAAGTGAGATACAGAACGGCTGGAGTCTAGGTAATATCTAAGACCCCTTTACATGTAGTTTTATTGATTTATTAATATTAGGATTATTTGTTTGTAGACTGTTTTTGTCCAGTTCTTGTCCCTCTGAAGGTTATAAATTATTACAGCAGATTCAGCTTTGTGTCACACTGTAGTTCTTCCTTTTACCTTCGTCACAGAGTACAGTACATCTTGTGCAGGTGCAAACAGCTGCAACCATCATGCTAACCTTCCTATCTCAGATCATGAGCCAGAAAAAACAAGGGGAGCTCTGATTCCTATTGGTGGCTTCAGATGATGTCACTCAGACCCTAATCCCCTACTGGAAGATTCAGATGACATCATAGAGGTATTATTAGTGCTGGTTAATATTGAATATTAAGGCGTGACGTGTGTTCAGTTCAGGAGTGTCTATTAGGCATGTGTGAGGGAGGGGGCATCCGGGTTTGTTTAGGTGACAAAAAGCATCCTGTCTTATTTGGTTACGCTGCAGGAGGAAAACATCCTTGTGTGGAGGTCTCTGTACAAGACTCCATCGTTATTTCAGTTCATCCTATTTGTCTATTTGTTGCCATAGAGCTGCAGGTCAAGGCGGACCCACACTTCCCCTGTGGGAACCTCGTGCAGCAGGAGACGACGTGTTACCGGTCCCTTGTTTTCCAGCTCTTTCTTGATGGTTGCCACAGGAACCTCTGTCCGACCCAGAAAGTCTGTTGAATGAGAAGAAATAGAAAGGGACATTTTAATTGGAAAAACAGAGCTTGGAAAAAATGTGACGGCTGAGTGTGTGTGAGGCTCCAGTGACACAAAGGTAAGAGTCAGGAACTCGTGGTATTTTCTTCAACATTAGGACTTTTCTGACTTTTGTATGACAATCTGTTATTTAGGTTTAAGCTCTAGAACACATCTAAAAGTTAATCGAATAAAATAATTGCAGCCTCTGGCAACAAGGAAATCGGAGAAGGTCACTGTTAGCCTGGCATCACCAGACCAGGTTGCACATGCCAGTTATTCAATACAATTCAATTCAATTTGAATTGCTCCAACATTGTCTCGTTGTTTTTCTATAACAATGACAATAAACTATTGAATTGAACTGAGTTAGTCTGGAACCTCTAAGTTCTTTTTCAATTAGCCCAGGGTGTTATCAACAGCTGTAGAGCAAAATGTCTCTGGATTCAATTGGATAAACATACAATCAATCAGAGCAACGAAATATGTGGCATGGCAACATAAATATAAATAGAATACAGCATACGGAGATGAGCTGTGATGGTGTGTGAGTGTTGCCCTTTTTGCCATCGGTATTTAAAAATAGTAGGCTACTTCAACAGAAAGTTCCATATCAGCTGCAGACGTTTTGGTTGTTTCTGAAAATGCCTCAACACTGCTCCTCTGTAGGATTATGCTTGCTGTGCAAAGGCTCTGCAAGTTGTCAGTCATCATTTGAAACCCGCCTCCTATTAGATTAACGGTTGTGACTGGCCAAAAGCTGGCTAGGTTGGCTGGAAATCTGTCTTCAGGTGAAGGGGACCAGACACATATTACAGAGCAAATAATACACGAGCTCACAGATGTGTCTGGTTCCCAGGCTGTACTTAATTTGTCAGTTTGATTTCTCTGGCTAGCCTGAGAACCAGACAAATCTATGAGCTCATGTTTCATTTGCTCTGGCAGATGTGTCTGGTCAGCCTCCCTGTCAGACAGATTTCCAGGTGGCCTGGCCCACTTTGGGTCAATCACAACCGTTAATCTAATACGGGGTACGGGACAGGCTTCAGACGATCACATGTGATAGAGCAGACTGGATGATTGTAATGCATCAGTCTGCATCATCCAGCGCAAAGCATCAGGCTCATGAAACTTACATCGAACTGTCAATCTGAGCTGATCAAATATGAATTAAGATTCTGATATTGCATTGCCTATTTCCTGTTTCAAATGTTTTAAGAAACACATTTTAGTGTACTGAGACACATGAGACAGTTTGTGACCAGGTCGCCATTTTTTTTTTTTTGCTTGAAATCAGACCAACCACTGCTCCAACCTGCATGTGCTGTTCAGCACTACGTCACGTTTGTTTTATTCAGTTTCGTCCAGAGACATTTTGGTCTGTACCCGTTGATAACACTCCTTGGAAATCAAAAATGAACTGAGGTGAATTAGTCTGACAATACCAGGCTTTAATTTTGCAGCTTTACAGAGAAATCAGTGAGGGTTAATGAAGGAGTGAGGGCGGAGAAGAAGAAGAAAAAAAGAGAAGACATCAGCAGGTGACTGACCATCAGGTGAAAACTGGTCTCTTTCAAAGATGGTGATACAGAGGACGTCCTGGTAAAGGTCTTTGATGTGGAACTGACAGTTGAAGTTCCACTTGGGGTTCAGAGTGTCGTTGAGCGTTCTGGATGTGAATATCTGAGCTCCCATTGTCACTTCACAGTAGGGGTTACTTTTACCTGGTGGAGGACATGAAGACAGGTGAGAGGAGGGACGGGAAAGAGGGAAGGCACGAGGGTGTAATAGCAGGGAGAGGACAGGGGAAGAGAGAGAAGAGCGGAGGAACAAAAGATGATGAAGGAGCAACTCAATAAAAGGGGTAAGGGGAAAAGGAGAGACAAGAAAAAGAAGAAAGAACATTTAAGCACACAGAGAGGCCTCTGACTGAAAGTGAACTGATGAAGAAAGGGTTGACAGAGCATCATAACTGAATATGGCTTTATCTTGGCTTCATTAGGCGTCCATGCAGCAGTGCATGTAGCAAGATGTGGACTAACACGAGTGTATCCATGCTCACCATTGGGTTTGGCTGCCTTGAGTTCAGTGGCCTCCAAGATGGTGACAAGAAGTCTGCCGATTCCACTGGTTTTCACAGATCGTGCTGCAAACACACACATACAGGTTGATTAATCCAGAGTTTGGCTGCCATCAGTACAGCTGTGTGAGTGTAGAGACAAACCTTGATAGGCCTTTTCCCTTTTTTTCTTTTCCGTCTCAATAAATTCTTCAGACGCAGCCTTGATCTTCTGAACCCAGGCCGTCCTGAAAACACAAACACACACAGTAATCATCACACAGGCCACAAAAAATAACAAAAAACACACACACCACATCTGTCTGTGTGTGCAGCTACCGTTCATTGATGTTGTCAGTCCTCAGTGTATACACTCTGTCGATGTGTGAGATGTGGAAGGTGGGCTCATCGCTAGAGGGATCTGGCAGCTTCACCAGAACTTCGTTAAGCAACACAGGCTGCAGGAAATAAAAAATTATGCACTGTCAAACACACAATAAAAAAGACATTGAACCCTAACTGTGTGTGTGTGTTTGTGTGTGTTTTTGTCTTACCGGCTTGTACATCTTGAGCTGCACATTGTTCTTGTTGCTGAACAGTTTATCTATCCCCGATGAGGTGAACTGTTTAGCCGTGTGAGTCAAAAGCAAAAAGTCGTTGAAGAGGAAAGCCCAGAGCTCCTTGTTGCTTTTTGCCTTGTGCATCTGAAAAAAAAGTCATACATACATATCATGTTATTTTTATGATCCCATCAACAATAATTAAGGTCAGGAAAGTTTATTTATAAAGCATCTTATTGTACACAAAGGTTATTCAAAGTGCTTTACAGGTGAAAGAGAGGAAAAATAAAAAAATTATTTAGAAATAATAGAAGTATAAAACAAGACAGATAAAAGTGCAGACAAGTTTGAAGTGACAGCACCATAAAATCTGATAAATTAAAAGCTGTGGAAAAGTGATGATGGTGGTACTATAGTCAACTGTTCAGCATCAGGTTTTAAATTAATTCTCAATCCAAAAAGCAAATGTCTACGTTTATATAACAGTATTATTCATGGTGCTGCCGTATCATCACCGCCTGAGATCCTTCTGTTGGGTTTCTGCTCAGATGAACCAGGTCGCTGATCTCCACTGTGAAAGTTTTACTCCGTGGTGTGAGGCTTGTAACATGTGACCACGACAGCCCGCAGTCTGACCCAGTAATGTTTTCATTTTCTCTCCCTGTACTCCCCAGTCTCTCTGGTCTCTTCAACATTTAAAATATTCATTCAGTGAAATGAAAAATGTTAATGTTATCTAGAATTTGGAGCCCCACCGGAGTGGTTCATTGACTCTGGTTACCACAGTTTCAGAAGCACTGCAGTTTTACTCACCTTGCCGCTGTGGAGCAGTTTCCTGGGTCCCAAACAGTTTGTAAGAGAGTTAAAGACCATGTTCTGTTGAAAGAGAGAAATGTTAGCCATATCTTTCACATGCTCTTTATAATTTTAAAATTTTAAAGAACTTTATAATTAGGTATTCTGCAAGATTCTCTTCTGATACTAATTTATAAGGTAATTAAACTAATACAAATTGAACTCATAAATAAATAACTGACTTGATTCCTACTAAATAGTGACCTAAAGGTGCAGTCAACATTGCTAATCCATACACTTTTTGTCAAATTCAGCAAATATCTCCTCACGGTCCGCTAGCTGTCCATTTTCAGTGCGTGCACAAAAAAAAAAAATCCTGGGTTCATTAGGGCTGCCCATGAAAGTCAGAGATTTCAATTATCAGTCCAAGACCCCTCAGCTGACTGAGAATCTTCAAGTCGAACAGTTGTTTTTTATTTGTGTTTGGGGGTTTTTTGTTGGTCAGTAGGTGGGGATGATTTGGTCCCCAGATGTAGCTGCACAAAGAGTGCTCCTCACTTTCAATCTGCTCTCCGCTACCAAACCCAGGGTGAGTCTGAGTGAGACAGGGGCAGCTGGCCGCAGGAAGAAGGGCTTTGTCAGGTCAGGCTTCAAGATAACATGATCTTCTGCCCTCTGCTTACAAGTGGTGAATTGACAGCTCACAGTGACTTAATATGATACAGCGTCTGGCTTTTGTTTGATATCTAGTGTCGGCAAAAAATGTTGCTGCACATTCCCATCAGTTGTTAGCGTAGTTAGCACACATTAGCTCTGAGGGATAACTTGACTTGTTTATTATATTACGTTAATGTCACTGTCACCCTGTACTTTCTCATGAACCTGGTTTAAACTCTGTTGGGAAAAAAAGGAACAAATAGCCGAATATTTCTACTGAACAGCCAAATCCAATTCAATTGACATAATCAGAGTCAGGTGCAACTTTGTTATCATACTCAGCCCTGGCTCAGACCAAGCTACACAAGTCAACACTACTCCAGCTAATCAGCAACAGGAGATGTTTAGGAGAAAGGTCATGGATGTATAACAAGATAGTTGCAAGAGGGACACTTCTGAAAGAGCACTAACGGAAGAGGTGTATTTGTTTGGGTGTTGAGTTCAAACAACAACCAATCTCAAGAACTGCAGACTACACCTTTAATAAGTAAGCTCAATACCTCTGCAGCACCATCACACTGTACGTGGTTCTGAATCCATTCCAGTCTGTCAGAGTTCTCCTTTTCTCTCACACCCTCGTTCACCTGATTAACAAAATAATTCAGCACTGAAACATTCAGATCTTTTTCACACAGAACGCAGTAAAAAAACAGATTAATTTGAGTAACGAGTGAGGGCACAAATGAGATAATCGGTGAAGAAATGAACCTGTTGACAGAGTTCCTCCGCTCTCTCCAGAGCCTCTTTCAGAGGGCCGCGGTCAGCGTGACCCTCTGGAGTGCACTCCAGGATCTAAACACACACACACATAAAAAGCAGAGAAGTTAATTACACCCACAAATGAGAGACGAAAAGGCAAAACACTGTTGTTTTTTCTAATTACACACGGTAAGGTCAGTGTTTGAACCCCTAATGAGGAGTTCAAACACAGCCACGCTCATGAACATGATGTCGTACGTTTTTGATGTGCAGTGGGTAGCGTGTGATCCTCTGCATGGGTTTCAGCAGGAAGCTGGACAGCGGCATGCCTTTACACCTGTAGTCTGTGGCAATTTTCTGATGGGAAGAAAAGACAGTAAGTACACTAAGAGCCTTGTTTCCACCTTCATGGATGTAACTGCAAAGTAGCTTGTTTCTTAAATACTTTGCCCTTCAACACATCTCTACGATTCCTCTGTCACTCCTACACTTCTTCCTTTCTTTGCTTACTCCTCCCTCACTTTCCTTTTCTTCCTACCTTGAGGAAATCTTTGAAGTTCGGCTCGCTGTCGATGCGAGTCTGGAGCATTGTTGCTCCGTTGATCTGACAGGAACAGAACCGGATGTAGGGTTGCATGTGCGACAGCTCCGCAGACAGGATATCTCCAATCATCTGCACTGGCATGTTCTCCCCGCCCATCTTCTTACGCACACGGAGCGCCCTGCAAACACATACATGTACACATATAAACACAAGCGGCTCTGTATCGCTGTACAGACACAATCTACATAAACACTACATTAACACAGCTTCATCAGACAGACTGTCTCTTCTAGATCTCATGACTATGTGAAACTTACTTGAGAAGTTTAGAGTTGCAGGCCAGCAGTTCTTTCCAGTTGACGAAGATCATGGTCATCTCTGCATCACTCAGCCGGCCCGACTCTGACATAGGCTTATGGAAAACCTACACAGAGACACACACACACACACACACACACACACACAAAGCCAGGAGTAAAGACGTTGGACAGAAAGAAAATGACAGATTTACACACGCTGTGAGGTATGTGACCAGGAGATGGTGCAGACACCCTGACACATCTCGTTCTCATGAAACACTAGATGGATTGATTGTAACTTTCTCAGTTTACAGGGTGTTAAAAGGTATCAGACACTTAAATTTAAGGCTTTTTAAGAGCTTTGCAAGATCATCTTTAACCAAATTTAAGACAAATCATCTTTTTCTTATTCATGTATTAAGGATAAGTATAAAGGTAAGTAGTATATGTGATCCCTTGCCGAGTTTATGTAAGTTTTATGTAGAAACATGGTCATTATAGAGAGTCAGGTAAATCTACTCTTTCCCAACAGGTAGGTGCAAGTATAAGGTTAAAAAAAGCATTAAGTTCAGGGGGTTTAAAGATTTGTAACGACAGAAATGTTGACTTTCACACAGAAGAGCTTGACTGACTCATCAAAATATAAATCATAAGATGGATAAGATAAATTTTTTGTGGCAATAATGACCTCATAAACACAAATTTAAGACTATTTAATAACTTTTAAGGCCTAATATGTATAAAAATGAATTTAAGACATTTTACCACTTTTTAAGGACCTGCAGACACCCTGGTTTTTATGCAAGTTATTGAGCAGGACATGTGTCCATTACCTCCAGCACTATCTGCAAGTCTTCTGTGTATCTCTCCTCTGTCTGGATCAGCTCATGGATGTAACCCTGTCTCTTCTTCTCCTGGGAGCTCATCGAGTCCAGACTGTTCAGGTCTGCACACCCTGCAGGAGAGGAGGAACACACAAGAGAGGGTTGTATGACTGAAAACAAACAGTGCCACCTGCTGGACGTTCAGACCCAAAAAAAGCAAAAAACAGAAAAGCCCATAATCCTGCTTTAGACTCTCTCTACTTGCCTCTCTCAAGTCTATTTGCACATGACCGAAGCTTTCAGAAAATAGGAGAGGGACGACAAAGAGGAAGAGGGATGGAAAAGGAAATGGGAAAGACTATAGTTTATATCAGCACACACACACACACTTACCTGATACACGGAGCCCATTAGCCCACTGTGAGGGTCCCTCACTAGCTGACTGATGCTCGCTCACTGACCTTTCTCTTTCTTCTCCCTCATCGTCCGCCTCATCCCAAAGGTTTAGAAAGTGAAAGCTGTTCTGTAGAGTCATTTCTCTGACTCTGATTATGTGTCTTTAAGTATTTTAGTTAGTTGTCTTCTGTTGCATTTGCCTGACTGTACTCTCCTGTTGGTCTCTTTCTCCTTCTGTGCGGTTATCTTCTCGTTGCTGGTATCAGACTAAAACCAAATCTGTTTGTACCAAAACAGGAAGAGGTATTCTTTCTTTCTTTCTCACCCCGTGACGCATGTTCAGAGTGGAAAAAGCTTAGTTTTTTTCTTCTTGTTCTAAGCTACTTTTGCCACTGAGGTAAGCCAGAAAATTTTGGAATATTTTCTACCATAATGTCCACATCAGAAGCCTAATATTATAATCCCAAAAAGAAAGTCACATGGATGTTTGACACTGCATCCTGCTGACTACGGGACACAAAAACAGCGGAAAAGGGTTGTTCACATGCTGTGTATCTACCCATCTTAATCATATGTACTGTGTTGACACTATAAACACTGCATCCAACACATTCACACACACACACCCCGCAGAAGGGAAGACTGATATTCAATTTAACAATAAAACACTTTACTATCATTTCAAACCAACCTTTATTTTATAGGTTTTATTTCAGAATCAGAAAATATATTAGACACATCTTCAAAAATAGTTACACCATCTCTTGTACCACAAATGTCCTGTATATGCCATCAGATCGGTTGTGCTAACAGCTGTTATAAGCTCTAGGTGCAGCGCCTCACCATCAGTGTGGTCCACCCAGTTTCACTGCAGCATTTCACAACTTTGTAAACTGTGTCGAGTAAACTCTGAATGGAAAAAAAGACAGCTAGCGGTTTAGCAGCAGTTTATTTTCTTTGCATTTGCCATCATCATTACAGATGGTGGTGCACTTTGACATCTGAACTGCAGCATCTTTAACGCAATTCCCTGTGTGCATCAGACCGGGCTCAGGGGTCACAGTCACTCATGAAAAGCTTGCATAGTTTTTTTTTTTTTTTCACTTTTTGCCCTGAAGGAAATGTAACCTGACCATAATGACCACTATTTTATTTTGGTGAACGCTACAAGCGGATGTGCACTCACTTTCCGCACAGACAGAAATATTCAAAGCAGCAGCAAAACAGCATTCAGTTAATATAAGGTGCAGTAGCAGTTCGTGATACATCTCTGAAAGGCGAAGTTTACATCTGTTGATGGCTTTGAAACAGTTTGGCATATGGTGAAGAGACGCTTCATCTCACTTCAAAATTACTTATGTTCCTTCTGTCGGTGATGACAGCTGACCCAGTTATGGCTTTTAAATGCAGAGGGCAAACTGTACGCTTCTGCTCGTACCATTCTCTGCCCAAATTGAGCTCAACAGAAGGTTTTCAGAGGCACAAAATCAAAAGCGCACTGCAAGATGGTCACAGCTGCAAGCAAAACTGCAATGTTACATTGTTTTATAGCATACTCTCCACTCAAGATTGTTGTTGAACATATCTGAAGAGTGCTGCAGGTTGGACCTTTTTTTGCTGGCCGACGTGGAAATTAGCATCAACCAGGTCCCCTGTCAAAAAGCTTTAGGGATTTTTCTATTGGATTTTGGATTATTGCAGAAAATAAGCTCTGTGGCAAATAAAAGTTTATGATACTTACATGTTTTGTTCAGCAAGATCATTTTAACACCACTTTCATAGTTACTGAAGCCCAAACACAATCACCAGAAGTAAAAAGCTAATGTAAGGCTGTAAATGAACTACACTACGGTCGCATGATGTAACATCCCTACCACAGCAAAGCCATAAAGCCGTGTTCGGCAATAATGACTTCTGTAGTCTCATTCAGCCACTTATTAGCAACCCCCTTTTTTAAGACACATAAAAGCTTCAAAATTCAAGAGTGGGGTATTTACTGACGTGATTAATGTCGTAGAACAAGACATGAAAGTCTCTAACCAAAACCCTAATTTCAGGCATCTAACCCATTCAAAGAACTCACTGACTTCAAAACGAGGGAACCAGAGGGGCAGAAATCACTTTTGGGAGTCATAACTGCAGCACTCTGTTGCTTTATTCCTCTCTGAGCGTATTTCTCTGATTAATTTACCAAGTCAAATTGCGACTTCATGCCTTGTTTCAAGCATTTAAAAGGCAACTGCAGGAGCGCTGTGGCGGAATCTGAACCATTCATTATTTCCCAAAGCACCGAAGGCTTGAGGATTAGTGCGATATTCATTGTTAGTATAAAGTGACAGTAAAGCTGGCACATCGTGTCTGAGTGTAGACACATCTCTGAGGAGAGACAGAGACAAATAGTGGGCTCTGTGTGAGCTGAACTCTCAAATTTGGAGAGCAAGAATGGAAAAAGCTGTATGTGAGGGAAAGGAAAAAAGAAAGATAAGGGACAGGAAAAGAGATGAAGAGAGAGAGGGTGACAGAGTACGAACAAAGGGGGGAAATAAGTGTCTTGTGAAAAGAAACAAAAGGAAAGAGGAGAGACAAGCCACAGAGAGACCCACTATCCCTCTGCTTCAGCATTTTATCATCGTCAGTTCACAAATCAAAACAAGGAGCGAGGAAAACACGAAAGACACCAACTCTTTAACAACTCACTGAATCAGCATTGAGAGTCATAAGCCTGGGACCAGACCTTTGAGTTCGTCTACTCCAACGAGTTGAATGATTCGTCTGGCATCATGACATCAAACAGCAGTTTCTCGGTTAAAGGACTACTTCAACCCCCAGATGACCTTTTGTGTATCAATTAATCACCTCATGTTACATCGAATTCATGAAGAAAACTTGTGTTTTTCTCGCATGCCCTCAGTGAACTAAGAATCCAAATGCTGAGAAAATGCTTGATGAATTAAAGTAAAAGGGGTCCGAACTTAACAACAGCAAAACTATTGGTTGGGGAAAATCAAATCACTCTCACCAATGGAGTGTAACAGGTTGACAATCCTGTCTAATATCAGGCAATAAGAAAGTCATTTCAGGTCCTGATTCATTCACAAGTAACATGGGAATTTTCTCTCTGTTTTGCACACACACACACACACACACACACACACACACACACACACACACACACACACACACAAACAGTGGGAGGAGTTAGTAGACAGGGAGTCCAGACACTCCGCCCCTTCAGAGCAGTGTGTAATAGTGGGTCTCTCTGAAGTCAGGAGGAGGAAGGAGGAAGAGGAGGTGGAGGAGGAGGAAGAGGACTTTCTACCACCCTAGAAGGAAAAAGAGACAGAAGCCGAGGAACAGAGGGAGGAGAGGAGAGACAGATTGGGGAGGGAGGGAGGAAATGGGGAAAAACAGGGGAAAAGGTGAAACAGTCAGTGAGAGGACAGGATGAAGAGATGGGTGGATGAAGAAATATCAGTGATGGTAAATGGAGGTTTCATAGATGAACAAAGGATAAGTATTAGTCACAGTGGCTTGAAGCAGAAGGAGAGCATCTCATTTTAAACATGCATTTACCTTCATGTATGGTCATGACATCATGCTTAAGGGATTTACTTACACTGCTGGCTGGGGTCACAATCGGCTGTGGTCATCTTAACGTAGTTGGTGGGGAAGAGACCAGTGACCCCGTTGACCTCTCCTTTCCACCAATCAGGGTCGTTCTTGTCCAAAACGTTGATCAGCTGACCTTTGGAGAAGCTCATCTCGTCCCCGTTGGCGGCTGTGTAGTCGTATATCGCTATCACTTGACAGACTGAGAGAGAAGAAGAGTTTATGGCACCATTATTTTAGTTACACAGTGCAATTTTGTACTCTTCATCTCTGGCTTTCACCTGACTTGGGGGAGTGTGTGTATGTTACCTGGTTGGGGAGCTGGCGTGGACTTGCCACTGTTGGATCCTAATATTTTGACGTTAGAGGCAGGAAACCAGCCCTTCTGACGCTTTTTACCACGGGCCTGGAGTCAGACAACACAAACAAACATGGTGTATGAGGTTTAAAGTCAGACTACAGGGATGCTGCTGGTGAACAATTATCTCCAAATCTTTGAACATGAAACTTCAGTGCAAGCCAAAAAGGTTGGGAACCACTGATCTAGCATAAAATGTCAAAAACTCCTGAGACCTTCTGTGGTTATCTACTGTATAATAAGGACCCTCAGAAAACCACTGTGAAGAGCAGGTGATAACTGACCTGCAGTTCTCCGAGCCACCAGCCAGAGGCGTTCTTGCCAAGGATGAGGATGAGCTGACCATTTTCCAGATTCAGCTGTTCAGGGCCAGTAGAGGGGTGGGGCCTAATCACCTGGGCGATCTCTGCGAACATGAGACACAAATGCAACTTTGCAAAATGCAACACCAGCTATTGTGTTTTTATGTGAGTCAGATATCAGATTAAAAAATAAGACAGTGAGCTTACCTGGCTTCTTCTTTCCAGCGATACTTGATGTCTGAAAAAATAGAATTACATCATCATTACAACAAAAATACGAGGATACAGTTCTCCCTCGTTTATTGGTGTGCGTTGAGTGTCCTTACATCTGCCTCTTTAGGTTTGACGTAGTTGCTGGGGAAGACGCCCGTGCTGTTGCCTATAGAGCCGTGCCACCACTCTCCTTCTCTCTTGCTCACCAAAATCACGTCTCCCTCTTGAAAGGTCAGATCACCAGGCTCAGGAGACTCATAGGTGTACAGCGCTGTATACTCTGGAAGGAAAAGAACATATGAACTTAGATGAACAGCAGTTTAGCTAAGGCTTCAGCCCATACAAGGCCATTTTGAAGGGGATTCAGATTTCATTGCAAACCTTAGACACAACACATAGTTTAAGATAATACTAAGAGTAAATGTCATCTCTGTTACCTGAGCAACATCATAAAATGTTAAAATATGAGTGATGTTTTACTGTACCTTCAAGCTGCAGGCTGTCGCTAGACTCCGAAGCATCAGAAGGAGAGCTCTTCATGCTGTTTACAAAGAAAGACTAGATTACCATACTTATTCATGCATCCAACCATCCTCCAACACTCTTCTAGATCACAGAAGTATCAAAGCATTTTCCCCCACTGCGTCCTCCAGCTCGTCCTGGAGGGTGCAGGGCATTCTAAAGCAAAATGGGGGTATCGATCTCTGCTGCATGGTCTGAGTCTGCCCTGGGGTCTATGAGGTGGAATACCAGGTGTCATACTATCCAAAACTGTAACTGACTCCTCTCAATACAAAAGAGCAGAAGTTCTTCTCTGGGCTCCTCAACCTGCATTCTTTAGGTTCATAGCCAAACCTCATGATCAGAGCTGAGTGTCGGAGCATGTACTTGACTGGACAGACAGGTAAGTCAGGTGCTTTACCTTGAGTCTCAGCTTCCTCTTCACCACAGCAGTCTGGTAAAAAGCCAGATGGAATCTTACTGTTTATATTTAATACTGCTGCTATTTTAAGTGTGTGCAACTGATTCTTCATGACAAATGGGCTAAGAAGTCATTTCACTTGTAAATACCTGACATACCTGAGTAGTTACCTCACCTTTAGACTTGGGTACACTCACTGACACTTACTGTAGACATTATCATGTGGCTGATGCATATTTTCACTGATTTACCCGAAGATAAAAATGCAACCTAACAGCCATAAAATATGTTGGTAAGTAAAGTGGACAAAGTTTGGTGGTAGTGATGCATCTTTATCACAACCATCACCAAGTGACACTTCTGAGGAAGGCGGAAGTTTCCGCCAAAACATGTCAAGAAGCCTAAAAAGGTATGTAACACCTTAATACATGTCTGAGATTAAAGAACAACTAAAGTGATTATCAGAAACTGAAGACAGAGGGGTGTTGGTGGCTTAGTGGCTACAGCAGGCGCCCCATGTACAAGGCTGTTGCTGCAGCGGCCCGGGTTCGACTCCAGCCTATGGCCCTTTGCTGCATTCACCCCCCCCCCCTCTCTCTCCCCTTCACACTTGGCTGTCCTGTCAATTAAAGGCTAAAATGCCCCAAAAAATATCTTGGAAAAAAAGAAAAGAAACTGAAGACATAATGAACCGTTTTGACTCTGATGAAGATGCAGTTGGCGTTGAAACGTTAGTCATTAATAAATTCATCACAAGTGATCTGAGTGCTCCAGTGCTTTTCTTGTGGATTCCTCCATGGGGTTATTTTGATCTATATTGTCCTGTTCTGAGAAGCATTGACCTCCAATGGCGGAAGGGCTGAAGCGCAAGAGATTACCGTTGAACTAAAGTTTGGGATCATTTCAAGTTGAAACAAAAAAACAGTATACATTGTGGCTTTTGTAAAACCGAACTAGCCCAACACAACAGCACGATTTCAGCTCTTCAGCATCTCAGCAGCAAGCACCCAGTCCATGGAGCAGACCCGACACAAGGTAGCGCTAACGTTAGCATTAATGTAAATAAATATGATTGCTAGTTGAGATGAAGGCCCCTGGTGGGGGGGCTTGTGCTGACTGAATTTGAGTTGCTACAGTATCTCACTGAAGGTCTGCCTCAAGAGCTGGCATCTGCTCTCCTCCTGGCAAAGTAGTCTCTGAGCAGGGAGAAGTGAGGCAACATGCTACAGACACACACACACACACACACACACACACACACACACGCACGCCTCATTTTCTCTTTTGTATAGTCACTAACGCCCACATTTTCAAAATGTGAGACACTTTAAAGACTCTACCCACAAAACGACCTATTTTTTAATCAGTTACTCACCCTGTGTTACCTTCAATTCACAAAGAAAGCATTTTTCTCGCATGACCTTACGCTGAACATAGAATCCAAAAAAGGCTAACATTCTTTGCAAGCTAATTAAAACACTTCTGCCGGCAAGCAGCACGCCCTGAGAGTGCCTGAGCACATGTGAGCATATGATGTCCGCTTGAAGAGTTCACCACTTGGTGGTGCATGACCCTGTTTGTACTGACGTGTTTTAAATTGTCAAGTTTTAGTAAAAATGCATATGTTTGGAAAGTACTGTGCAAACGACTGGATAAAGAGACTTGGATGATACTGCATGAGTTGTGTGAGAGTTCGTAAACAGACGTTCTGATATAGTTTTGAACATGGTCCCTGATTATTTCAATTCATGAGGAATTTTCACCTTTTTGGATTCTTTATTCAGGAGACGTATGCTAACAAAATTTTCTTCACGTATCCAAGGTAACACACAATAAGTAATTAATATACAAATGGTCATTTTGTTGGTGAAGAATGTCTTTAATGTTTAGTCATCAACCTATGACTGCATCAGTGTGTGGTTCAGTCAAAAGTCAGTGGTGGTATTTGCCAGCTAAACCAATAATTTGCCATCATGGCTTGTGTGAATTTGACATAACTAGTGAGGTCTCTAGAAAGGGCTCCAAGAGGAATTTAAAATTTGAAAATGTTGTAAAGTTGCTGTTTTTTTTGTTTGTTTGTTTTAAAAAAGAGACAAAAATACTTTCCCCCCCGACTAGTTTAATTATGGAGACCAAGGATGTGATAGTAAAGACTCACTCTGAACTCTCTTCTTCTCCCAGCAGTGTCACGTATGTTTTGGGGAACCAGCCCCGTTCATTGTTCAGCTCTCCCAGCCACCAGTTTTCCTGCTGCTCCAACACCTGAATGACATCATCCTTGTTGAAGTTCAGATGGTTATCTGTCTTTGCCGTCCACGAGCACAGGGCCTGGGCTAACAGATTACCCACCACCTTCTGTCAGAGAGAAAGACAGTACAGAGTGTTTCCACATGTCCAGACAATAATCCTCCACTTGGCGCAGCAGTAAAAGGACTTGTTATATAGGTTGAAACCACTCACCTGTCCGTGTGTCTCAGAGGGTGCAGGGTGTGGAGAGTGCGTTGGCGTAAAGGCTGACTTTGTTCCTGATGCCTTGACAGCCTCGAGAGCATTGGAGAGCTGTGACTGAAGCGCCATTTTAGGAGCAACAGCAGCAGCAGCAGCAGCAGCAGCAGGAGTGTTATTAGCCGTGTCTGATGGAGCCAATCTCTCGACGTAGCTCTCTGGGATCCAGCCCATCTTCCCCTGTCTGCTGCCGTACAACCAACCCTCCTCCCGCTCTGTCGTCTCATCAACCTGGCAGGAGGAAACAGGAGAGTTTGAGAAAGACAAAGAGGAACAGAATTATATGCCTATATGGAGAAAGGTATTCTTCTCAGTGAGATCTTTCGTCAAGCCCTCATGAGACATCATATTCAGTCTCACCTCGATGATATCATCTGCTTCAAAGTCAAGCTCTTCATTGTTTCGGGCAGTGAACGGGTAGAGAGCTTTGAAGGATGTGAGTGCTGCTGACTTCCTGTGTTGTCTGGCCCTGGGTTGCCCACCTACAGGAGAACATCAGGGTCATGATCTGAGCTGAGTTTCAATAGTGTTTTTAATACAAACTGAAGACAGGAAGAGAGATGACGGAGAAGCAAAGGATATAAATACTAAAACATGTTTGTGTCTCACCCTTCCTCTCCTCCAGTCCTTTCAGAAGAGCCGTCAGTTTCTCCTGAATATCAACCTTCCCTCCTCCACCTGGCTGCTGCTGCTGCTGACGAGGTGCCTCCACCTTCCTCTTTCTCGCCTCCTCGGCTTTCCTCCTTTCCTCTTCCTCCTCTTTTCTCTTCCTCTCCTCCTCCACCCTCTTTTTTTCCTCCTCACGCTGCCTCCTCTCCTCGTCCTGCTGCTGCTGGACCCTCCTCCTTTCTTCATCCCTCCTTCTCCTCTCCTCCTCCTCTCTCTTCTTTCTCTCCTCCTCCTCTCGCTTTCTTCTCTCCTCCGCATCTCGGACGGCGGCCATGGCTGCCCTCTGTCTCCTCTTCTCCTCCTCCTCTTTCTCTCTTTGACGCTCCAACTCTCTCCGCTCCTCCTCTAACCTCTTCTTCTCCTCCTCCCTCCTGCGCCGGTCCTCCTCTTCTTTCCGTCTCTTCTCCTCTTTCCTTCTCTCTTCCTCCAGTTTCCTCCTTTCTTCCTCTAGCTGCCTCCTCTCCTCCTCCAGCTGCCTCCTCTCCTCCTCCTGCCTTCGTCTCTCTGCTTGCTTCTGCCGCTCCTCTTCCTCTCTTCTCTTCCTCTCCTCTGCCTCTCTTCTCTTCCGCTCTGCCTCCTCCTTTGCTCTGAGTTCTCGTTCAGCCTCCTCCTTGGCAGCCTGGATGAGGGCCAGTCTCTCCCTCTCCTCCTCCTCCCTTTGTTTGGCCTCTTTCTCCTCCTGAAGTCTCCTCAGACGCTCCTCTTCGTCCCTCTTCAGCTTCTCCTGCCATTGGCGTTCTTTTTCCATCTTAATACGCCTGTGAGTGAGACATAAACATTGTTTTAAAGTTTGTATGTCGAGGTGAAGGAATGGACATTTTAGAGTAGCTGGAGAAATCATATTTTTTGCTTTAACACATTTAATAATAAATCTGTGTGAAAGCAAAATACCTCTGAGCTTCCTCCTCCTCCCTCCGCCTTCTCTCCTCCTCCTGCCGTTTCCTTTCCGCTTCTCTCCTCTTCCTCTCCTCCTCCTCCTTTTTCTTTCGACTCAGCTCACGCCGCTTGTCCTCCTTGATGCTCTGTAGTTTTTCAAGAGCTGCCTGCTGTTTTCTCTGGCTCTCCCTCAGTTCCTGATGCACAAACACACAAAAAACACACCTTACTGGCAGAACGAAAGATATATGACTGAATCAAAGAATGAACTGACTAGACAGATATGATGGGGAAGGAATGAACACACATGGCATGCACATACACACGGAGCATGCAAAAAGGTGCCTAAACAAGTTGAAGAAGGGTGATGTGAAAATAAAAAGAGAGATATGTCAACAGAGCTAAAACATCAAAGGCACAAGATGTCGGAGTGATGGAGACATATGAGCCGAGCGATGAAAGATCAGGAAAAAAGGAGGAAAAAGACAACAAAGAGACCTAAAGCGAAAACCTTTAGTAGGTAGAAGAGGCTACGGAGGCAGGTCAGCAGACAGAAGACAGCCTGAAGCATAGTGTCCTCATCACCCACATACTGTAAAGTTAGGGACAAGGGATAAGAGATGGGTGAGAGGGGAAAGAGGGGAAATGGAGGAAAGTCATCCAGCAGAGGAAAAGAAGAAAGAGAAGTGCATAAGAGCTAAATCAAAGTTACAGATAACAAAGGGGTGAAGTCAGTATCAGAAGGTTAGAAAGAAGGTTACGATGGAAAGGAATGACTGGAGGAGGAGAAGGAGAGAAGAGGCATCAAGGGCCAAGCTGCTGTAGTTAGTACGAAATCAGTAGAGCTTGGAAACAGGCATTGCACACTCCAAAAATGTGGAACATTTTTTAAAAATATTTTTTCATCTGCTCTTTAAATACAAAAAAACCCTAAATCTATTACACACACAAGTGCTTAAATTAGGCAAACAAGACATAAAGATGTAATGAGTTGAGTTTGTAAGGGAAACAACAGGAAAATATTCCAGTTCTGTATTAGAGCATCACATTTCGTCAATTTAACAAACACACTTCTGTTCATATAATGTACTACCATGGCACTGGGTAGAAGTCCATTTTCTGTCCTGCATCAAACTTTCAATCCAGTTATTTTTTCCATTTTTATTATTGACGTTTATTTAATAAGAATGAGTCTGACTGATCGATGTGGCGATGATTTAGGAAACAAGTGCATAGGTGTAACCTCCAAACTGGGCTAGACGTTTAGATATGATTAAGATATAATGTCATATTATTTGAGACATTCTGAGAGACTCATTATGAATATTCTATGTGAACTGTCATTTTAATTGACACCATGTTAAAACTCATAATTCATGTTAACTATGCATTAAATTCTTACTTGCATATCACTGTTGTACTGGTCCATCTCAGACAGTTTGGCAGCAGTCTCTTTTTCCAGAGCTTCCAGCTGCTCTCGCAGTTTCACACATGTCGCTTTTTTCTCCGTGGCAGCTACCTTCATCGTCGACATGGTTGACACTAAAAATACACAAAATACAGTTAAATAATCTACAATTCTTTCAAGTAAAATAAAAGTGCTTTTTTCCCCAGAAAAAAATGATTTACAAAGTGAAAATTTCTAGAACTGCATCCTTATTCATATGGTTTTCATTTCTTTGTTGCATTACAAGATATTATTCCATATTCTTTATTAATATATATTCTGAATTAACTGTGCTATAACTACCCATTTTGCCCATTATTGTGTTCTCTTATCAAACATTCATTGAACAGTGCTGCTGGAAAATGTGGTTCTAAAACTCTGTCATTTCATCCATCAATACTAACCAGGCATGTTATTCAGTGACATGTTTCTGAGTTTCTCCGTCAGTCTCTTCTGCTCCGGAGTCAGCTGGGACAACTTCCTCTGGAACTCCTAAACAAGAGGAAATGCAGCAGAAACAACACAAATTGTGTTATGGAAGGAAAATATTTGGGAAAAGATTATATACATGTAGTGCTGCAGTGATGACGTTTTTTTTTTTTTTGCAGGTGCCACCCAAACGTCAACATCCCCCTTGTTTCTTCGTCAAAAAAATCTATGGTATTTTCCACTGGAAAATTGCGATTATTGTAGAAAATAGGCTGTTTGATACTTACACGTTTTGTTCAGCAAGAAATCTTCACAAATGAACACCTCTTTTACAATTTTTGAGGCATAAATTATATAGGCAGAAGTGAAAAGCTAACATACAGCTATAAACAAACTACACTGCAGTTGCATCACGTCATCGTTGCAATCACAATAAAGCTGTAAAGCCATGTTTGCTATGATGATGTTCTGTACTCCCATTTAGACTCATGTTAGCAATGACGTTTTTAAATACATATAAGAGCATATTTATTGACATAATATGTCATAGAAATCAACCCAATCATGTACCCATCACACATTAACTCAAACACTTGATCTAACACTATGAAATCTTGTTATCTCTTAATGTTGTAGTTGTATTGTCGTTATTATTGCTGAAGCCACTTGGTCATGAATATGTTCTATTTTGTAATTGTGTAATTTCATACAATAGTGTCTTTTAGCAGATAAATTATTCTCTGTTTCCTGTCCAGTGACTAGAGATGAAAATTAGCTTACAGCTAACTCTGGTGCAACTAAGTAGCTGTGCACTGTCCCAGTTAAAATAAATAAATAAACAGAACGTGAACGTTTCTTGCATTTCTTGTGCTGACCACAGACCTTATTTCAGAAATTTAACCAATATCCCATTCAACAAACCCAATTCTTCTTCTAGGCAAGGAAGACAGAAGTGCAAACATGCTGACTAATTTCTGGGTTTTAGGACTCATTTCCACAGCACTCTATGACATTGTCTCTCAAGAAAGAAATGAGCACATAAATCACAGCTAACACAAAACTGTTAGAACCATTAATAAATGTCATGAACAACTCAGACACATAGGACACACACACACACACACACACACACACACCTCTAGCTGTTTCTGCAGGTTGTTAATGTCCTGCTGGCGTGTCTCTTTTCTTTGATTGGTCAAATCCAGCTCCGTCTTCTGATGCTTCTTCTTGTTCTGGAAGTCACGCAGCCGGTCTGAGATCTGACGATGCTTGTTACCCTGAGGTAGTGAGAAACGGAGAGAGAGAGGATGAACAAAACTTTATCAACTCCACTTAATGTGTTCATGAAGGTGAGAAGACAGCTGGATAAAGAGAAGCACCCATGGTGAGGCTATAGTACGTCTACGTGTGATATGTTGCACCTAAATAAACCTATACGTCTCTCCACCACTCACCACAGCCTCCAGCTCCATCTCAAGACTCCTCTTCTTGGCTTTCAATTGGATGATCTCATCCTGCTCCTGCTCCTTTTTTATCTGGAGCTCTCCTCGCCGCCTCCTCTCCCACTCCTCCTTCCTCTGACGCTCGAGCTCCCGCTGTGCAGCCTGGAATGAACCCATACAGGACAATGAAGCGTAAAAAAAACTCTTTGCTGTGACTATAAAGGAGGGACCATTTATATTTCTAAAAAGTCCCTCACCTCTTTCCTCTCGATCTCTCTCTGTCGCTCCTCCTCTTTCTGCCTTTCCAGCTCCCTCTGCCGCTCCAGCCTCCTCTCCTCCTCTTTCCTCCTCCTCTCCTCAGCCTCCCGAGCCTCCCTCTCTCTCCTCTCTCGCTCCTCTCTCTCCTTCTGAGCTTGACGCTCCCGCTCTTTCCTCTCCGCCTCCTGCAGCGCAAGTCGTCTTCTTTCCAGTTCTGCATTCCCACGCTCCAGGTTGGCTTTGAATTTATCCTCAAACGTCACTTAATAAGACAAATAAAGAGTTTTGATTAAGTTGTTGTATTTATAATGATGACTGGGAGTCAGGGTTGGGCGGATGTAAACATTTTCAAACCAGCTTGATATTGAGACACACACTGGACCAGACTGGTGTACCGAATGTTACCACCAAGGGTCACACTTGACTCAGCAGCCTCTCCCAAGTGGACTATTATGTCACCCTGTCCCAACAGCAAGTGAGCATCCAACTATTGTGTCATAACATCAGAGCTCTCTGTCAACCTGAATCCATTAAATATCAACTTCTGTTACATCATGTGAACAAACCACATAAATAACAGCTGTGCACTTGAGATCAGAAACGAGACATAACCAATAAAAAGATCGGTGAGTTGCCAACTTGCCATCTTTCTAAATTCCTACATACGATTTTAAACAGAAAGCACAAGTTTTATATTGTGAGATTTCCTGGAAATGACATACAATATAGCCAACTGCAGGTAGGTTGTTTTAGTGATGGTCATTAACCAGAAACTTTCAGCACCCTGGTGATCTCCCTCCAGACAGCTGTCAACATCCAACATGTTGTCATATTATTATTAACGCAATACAAATTGGATTTAGCACAGTGACGTCACCAGCACAGGTTACTGATGTCATGTACTTTTTAATTTGTCAGAACGTGTCATAATGACAAATGCCAGTTCAACTGGTTTATGTAAAGTCAAACCGGTTTAAGCTCACATACCAGACCGAATATCAACTTATGGAACTTATTTTAATCTTAATAAGGTTTAAGCAGTAAATGTTTTAGGTATGAACTCTCTTTTTAGTATCAAAATTGCTGATGTGCCTATTGGACGCTGCAGTGGTTACACAGACTTTGCCTTTTTTTTAATGATTTATTTGACTAATTATTGATTGATTATTTGAACCTGTGTGCTTAAAAAGGAGGTTGATGGACAGTTAAAACAGAAACATATATAAATATTAAACTGTATTTCAGCAAAACTGCCACTGACCAGTTACAGTGAGATTAGTGTTTTGGAGATTTAGGGATTTTGAAATAGCTTTTCTCTGTGAACCTAAAATTTAAAAACTCTTGATATAACTCTTAATACAAGCTGCTACAACTTGCGTCTGCGTAAGATGATGGTGTGTACAAACCCAACATAAAACTGTGCTGCCCTACACTCTGAGACATTTGGCTGCAGTTTAGGCCACTGCAAGTGGCCATTCTGTATGTTTCAACAATATACAGTAACTCACATAAGTGAGTACACCCCTTCCATTTTTGAAAATATTTCATTATATCTTTTCATGGGACAACACTATAGAAATGACACTTTGATATAACTTAAAGTAGTCAGTGTACAGCTTGTATAGTAGTATAGATTTACCTTCATCTGAAAATTACTCAAAACACAGCCATCAACATCTAAACAGCTGGCAACATAAGTGAGTACACCCCACAGTGAACATGTCCAAATTGTGCCTAAAGTGTCAATATTTTGTGTGCCAACCAGTATTATCTAGCACTGCCTTAACACTTTTGGGCATGGAATTCACCAGAGCTCACAGGTTGCTTCAGAAATCCTCTCCCACTCCTCCATGATGACATCATGGAGCAGATGGATGTGAAGACACCTTGCGCTCCTCCACCTTCAGCTTGAGGATGGCCCACAGGTGCACAGGTGAGTTTAGGGCTGGATACATACTTGGCCAGTCCATCACCTTCACCTTCAGCTTCCTCAGCAAGGCGGTTGTCATCTTCTAGGTGTGTTTTGGGTCATTATCATGTTGGAAAACTTGATAATGAAAACTTGCAGCCCAGTTTCTGAAGAGGGACGATCATGCTCTGCTTGGAATTCATGTTTCCCTAAATGAACCGAGCTCCCCAGAGCCACCAGCACTCATGCAGCCCCAAACCATGATGCTGCCACCACTATACTTGACTGTAGGCAAGGGACAGTTGTCTTGGTGCTCTTCACCAAGGTGCCACACATGCTGAGAGAGCATCAAGACAACTGTCCCTTGCCTACAGTCAAGTATAGTGGTGGCAGCATCATGGTTTGGGGCTGCATGAGTGCTGGTGGCTCTGGGGAGCTCGGTTCATTTAGGGAAACATGAATTCCAAGCAGAGCATGATCGACCCTCTTCAGAAACTGAGCCGCAATGCAGTTTTCCAACATGATAATGACCCAAAACACACCTAGAAGATGACAACCGCCTTGCTGAGGAAGCTGAAGGTGAAGGTGATGGACTGGCCAAGTATGTATCCAGCCCTAAACTCACCTGTGCACCTGTGGGGCACCCTCAAGCTGAAGGTGGAGGAGCGCAAGGTGTCTTCACATCCATCTGCTCCATGATGTCATCATGGAGGAGTGGGAGAGGATTCCTGAAGCAACCTGTGAGCTCTGGTGAATTCCATGCCCAAAAGAGTTAAGGCAGTGCTAGATAATAATGGTTGGCACACAAAATATTGACACTTTAGGCACAATTTGGACATGTTCACTGTGGGGTGTACTCACTTATGTTGCCAGCTGTTTAGATGTTGATAGCTGTGTTTTGAGTAATTTTCAGAGGAAGGTAAATCTATACTACTATACAAGCTGTACACTGACTACTTTAAGTTATATCAAAGTGTCACTTCTATAGTGTTGTCCCATGAAAAGATATAATGAAATATTTGCAAAAATGGGAGGGGTGTACTCACTTATGTGAGATATTGTATGTATGTTTATGCTATTAAATTATGACTTGTCAGTGTGAGTACAAAAATAAACAGCAAGTTTGACTGTAGACTTCGATCTTATCTGGTTGCTAAGTATTGTTGCAGCCTTACATTATTTTAATTATGAAGAACATAGAGAAGGAGACTGAACATAATGCAGCAGTTAAACAAGGCTACACTGTGTGTGTTAGGTCTGGTAGTGTGAGTACTGACTGTTGGGTTTGTTTTTCTGTGGAGGCTCTACGTCAAAGTCTTCAGGCAGCGCTGCATAGAGAGAAGAGCTGGATCCATTCACTGCACTCCTGGAACACAGAATTAAAACAACTTGTTGGACTGCACACAATAAAAATATTACATTTACAATATGAAATAAACATCTATGTAGTCCATGATTCATGTACCTAGATGTTGGAAACACTTATATCTACTGTTCAGGGTGTTTGCCATGTTTTTCTTAAACTGTGCCGTATGTGTGCACATACCTTTGTGAGGGTGGTACCAGTTCAGTTGGCAGTGTTAGCGGCAGTGGTTGCCCCATCTTTGCCATGTCCACAAGATGCATTGCCAGAATAAACTCCTCAGCTTTTAGCTTGCCGTCCTTATCCACATCAGCTAAAGTCCTGTGTGAGGGCCGCAAATTAAAGGGGCAAGGTTTATACATGACTTCATACTGACACTGCGATAGAATTAATTACAGGAAAGGAGGATACTTAAAGACAACTAGGAAATATTTTGCACCACACAGAAGGTATTCAATATGGTTACATCCTTCTGTTGTCACATTTAATTTAGGCTGAGCTTGGTAGTTAAAGGGGAAATACACTCTTTTTCAAAATTCATAAAACTCCTATGGTCTAAGACAGTCGTAAAAATATTAGTTAACATGAACACCTCTTTCCCAAATCCAAAAACTAGAGTGCCTAAACTCAAATTTTTGATGTTATACGGTACAAAGTCTGGAGCTACTTCATGGGCAGCAAATTGGGAAAGACATTGGCTAAAACGCTGCCGCTCCATCCAGAGTTTATCATAAACACTAGCAAAGCAATACAGTTAATAAAATAAGCACAGCAGAAACATCAGATAGGTCGGACAACTGTGTTTAACTATGTATCCTTAAACATCTGGGACCAGTTATAGGGATCATCAGCAATTTTTAACTCAGGAGTTAAAACCAAAAAAAAAAAAAAAAAATCACAGCAGAGTTACACTATTATGATTTACAATAACCAAAGTTATTTCCTTGTATTTATTGATAATTGATACTCAGAGCAGCCTTGACTTATAAACAGTATTGCTTAACCAGCAATGGCCTACTGTCATACCAGCTACAGTGGAATGAAGTTTCTTTAGTCTGGCTACCAAACCCGACTTTTGGCTCTTGAACACAACACTGTAGCAATCATAAGACATGTACAGACACATTCTTACCAGATGGAAGCCAGCTGTGTCTGAGTCAGCATCGTGGTCGCCATGGCACCTCTCACCTGCTGACCTGGCAACGAGAGTGACAAACATTAAAGCACCTGTATGGCATAGATGTGCAGGCGTGGTGGAGGAATGAAAAGGTCAAGGGTGTGTGTGTGTCTGTGTGTGTGTGTGTGTGTGTGTGTGTGTGTGTGTGTGTATGTATGTAAGGATCTGTACAGTACATGGCAATTTACTCATTAAATTAAAATGTAGCAGGTGAACAAAGAGTCCCGTGCATCATCACAGCTGGTTTCCAAGACTGCATCCATGTTCTCTTGATGTTACATTAAAAGTGAAAAAAAAACTGATACTGAAATAGGAAACTAGAACCTTTTTAATCCTCATTCATTCACTTAGATATAAGAGATGATTATCAAAGGACTGTGACAGTGTGAACAACAGCTTAACAGGTGAAGATTTCTTTTACAAACAGTGCTTGTCCATATGCTACAATCCACAAAGAGATTGAGCCAAGAGCTAAAAGATGTATAGAATATAATTTATTGAACGTCTTGGACTAGGGCTGAGCAATATATCCACTTCATATTAATACTATCTTCGATTTTAGATATCGTAATATTGTAGGTGTTGCCCTCTCCTTGTTTTAAAGGCTGCATTACAGTAAGTGATGTAATTTTCTAAACTTATCAAACTGTTCTAGCTGCTCTATTATTTGCCTTTACACACTCAGTCATTATATCCACATTAGTGATGATTAGTTATCAAAAATTTCATTGTGTAAATATTTTGCGAAAGCACCTATACTCAACCCTAAAATATTGTTGCAATATCGATAAAGATATTTGGTTAAAACTATTGTGATATTTCATTTTTCTCCATATCTCCTAGACCTCTGTTGAACCGTACATAATGTGCAAAGTCATACTGTGAGGTAATCATCTGCAAGTGTGGCTGAAGTGAGTAAGTATATGTGTGTGCACCCATCATGGCCATTTCATAAGAACAGGTCCAGCAAGGCCTGCAGAAACAGAACGAAAAAGGCAGATACATACTTGGCTGAGAGTGCGTGTGTGTGTGTGTGTGTGTGTGTGTTGGTGTTGAGAAACTGCTGCTGCTGTGACTGAACACACCCACAGCTGCCGCAGACACAGCCTTTACTTCCTTAGAGGTAGTTAAGGCTTGACACACAGAAAAAAAAGGGAGGCAACTGTTGTGAAATCATCAATGACTGTTGTTCAACATGAACATCCACGCCTGCATTCCAGGCACAGTTTGGTTTTGGATGACCACTACGCTGTTCACATACAGTACACACACACACACACACTCACACATACACTTCGTACCAGTGAGGTATCCTGTCATTTGTTTATCCAAGCCGTTGAACTGCTGTCTGTACTTGAGTCTGGAGGCATGTGGCACAGCCCAGTCGCTGGGAACAGCAGCCATGGGGGACATCACAGAGGGGGACGAGGAAGCGGAGCTGAAAGACAAAACTACGAGCTGAATGCACCAAACTTCAGGAGGTCCAATGTGTTTTTGATACACTTCAAAGAGACGGACAAGATTAATGAGGCACTGATTGTGCAAAAAGGGAAGCTGCTTAGTGCTTCCAAATTTCTGTGTGTGTGGTTTTTTTTTGCGTTTGTTACCTGATAGATCCCAAGTCCAGCAGTGATGAGGCTTTGTTCATACTAGCAGGAGAAGCGGGGCGTCCAAACGGAGAGGAGTAGGGGGATGCAGAGAGAGGTAGGCCTGAAAACACACAGCACACATATCCATCAAATACTTCCATATAATTATCTGCATCACTATGATAATGTTGTAGCCATCAACCTTAACCATAAAATCTTGATGCCGTTCACCCTAACACACAGACTTTTGTTAGGAGTCCTACAGTGGGTCAGTGATAAACTGTCATCCAGCCCAGCTTGCCAACGACAGGGTAGGTGTTTGTATGGAGATGAGACAAAGAGATCTGACTCTGCAGAACCCTCTTTTTCCCCTCAGAAATATTTTATAATCTGTGCTCTGCTGCAAACATAGACAATTTTTACTCTCAGAGCATGACACTGTGAGAAAGTGATAATCAAAGGACAGATTCGTGTATTTAAAGGGCTACTTTGCCAACTCTCAGTTAGCTTTGTATCATAACATTGTGGGTAGTATGTGTAAAAAACCTATGTTAACCTGCCCTCCATCTTATCAGCGCCCAGATCTCCCTGCTTATTTGCAAGTGATGCATTTGGCGTCATGCTGCATATTTTTGCTGGCTCTAGGGCTGTTGCTTGAACTAAAGATTGTAATCACCCCCCCTCTCTCTCAAACTCCGATGAAACAGTAAAACTAGGCAGTGCTGATCAAATATTAAGCACAATTCTGTTGCTATGTTGCTTATTTCTCACTTTAAATGTTTTCAGAAACATATTTTAGAGTAGTGTTTGACTGTAACATGAGATTGTTTGTGACCAGCTGCCTGCCATATTGTTTTTGAACAGGCACTCACCAGCAGGAGTGTTTACTGGTCCGGTGCGGCGCAGTGCAGTGCATTCTGGTAGTTGTAGGTTTTCTACTTCTTAAGTAAATGCCACAATCCTTTTCCTATGTTTCTTTGTTCTATATTATATCTGGTATTTGTGTCTCTCTACTGCAAAGATCATCTTTCCAGAAGTGAAATACTTCTTAAATCATACAAGAGACCCTCCTGATGACACAGCGACAGATACACGATACTACAGAGGAGTAAAAACAAAAATGAAAATGAGTACCAGGGGCCAAAGTTCCAGCTGGCATTGGTTGGAGAATGGAGCCATTTGGCAGGGTGGTGTTTCCCATGGTGGGCATCAGGGGCCTGGAGGAGGTGGAGGCCATTAAAGGGCTCATGCCTGTTGCTGTAGGAACCAAAGGAGTGAGGCCTGTCATTGGTGTCATAGTTGCAAGTCCAGGGTTTGCCATGGAGATGGACATAGGGGTCAACATGGCAAGGTTTGTCCCAGGCATCATCGACATTGTAGGTACAGAAGATATACCTAGGATACACACACACACACACACACACACACACAATAGGTGTAACAGTTAGATGATACAGCAGTCAAAATGCATATGCACAAACATCAGTCAGACATATTTTACATTAGCTTGGCAATAGTTGTTAATTCTTCTGTATTGCATTTACATCTTTTAATCTACACATTCTTTCTGTGTTTAAGGCTGTGACAGCTGAAGCAAAAGACACATTTCAGTTCTAAAATCCACATACAGTATATAATAATACTGTACCATAGGCTGGGTTACTGAGATTACTGAGGTTGGGAGCAGGCACTGGAGGCTGCTTCATGATGATTGGCAGTGCTGAGGGAAGCTGTGTACCCTGGAGTTTCAGTTTTATGAGCTTCATAGCGATGGAAAACTCCAACCTGTCCATCTTCCCATCTTTATTCATGTCAGCCAGAGCCCTGAGAGGCAGACAGAAACAAACAGATAACAGACAGACAAACACATCAAAGAGTGTAAAGATCTTGTGCTTCAAGTATAGATTACAGTGAAAACTCCTAGAGAACAAATCAATCAAAAATTGGGCTGAACGCTTAATCCTGTTCAAAATGACAATGTGATGTAATAGAATGCAAATTTCAAATTGCAAAAGCTGCAGTTGGAAAAAAACATGTTTACAACGAGGTGAGTGTCAGAGCCACGGTCAGCAAGCACTTCAGTTACAAAACTGCAACTTACTGACTGGAGTTCAGTTAGACTCAAATTTATTTTTCATGTATAATGTTCACACCAGGCCTGTTGCTTTGCAGTGCTTTGTCCTTCTTTTTCCATATTTCATGTCATGATGTTTATACTACTTGTACACAAGGCTTGACGTTACATGTTATTATGTTCTACAGCGGTTGAAAGTTTTTACAATTCAATAGTTCAATTAAGATATGCTTTTCATATCAATTCATGCATTAAATGAATCTCATTTCATCATAACTTGAGCAGCATAAGTTGAATGTATCCAATGTTGGGTTGGTCAGATTATAGAATGATTTATTGCCTGTGTATAGTGAAGAACACAGAGGAACTTAATAAAATCGCATACTGGGTCGCAGTTAGATTATCTTATTGGTTATATTGTTCAGCCCTTCTCAAAAGATCCGAGTGTATGTGAGTGTGAAAGTGAGAGTGTTTCTCACCATATCTCAGCCAAAACTGAAGGAGGCAGCCCTGACTGGAGGAAAAACTTCCTCGCCTGTTCCCCTACAGAAAGAGACAGAGAGGAAAAAGGCAAGAAACACAAGAAAATTGAGATTCTAATGCATGCAAAACTCAAAATGTGTCTGCATACAAACACCACTATCTACTGTATTTTCGTGCCTACATGTGTGTGTGTATATTAGTCTAATCACCTGAGCATGGCAACAACATTTGTTAGCACTTCATAACTACTTATATTTACATGTGCCTGTGTATTTATGTGGAATTAGGAAATCACCTTGCTTAATACATGTAAAGCTAATGGCAGAAGGACGTGTACTGGTGAAATGGCATTGTGAAATGTACTGACAGGGAAATCACTGTGTTCATGATGCACCAAAAATCTCTGTGGTGATGATTGTGTCAGTGTGTGTACCTGAGACATAGCCCATTGATGGGGAGAGGGTGTCAAACTTCTGATCATGTTTGACCCTCTCCTCTGGAGTGACCGCCCAAACACTTAGACCACCTACAGAGAAAGAGAAGAAGTGTGAAGCACAAGACCTAGCCATTATCTTCTAGATAGGTCAGCCTGGTGAGCACTGATCCCTTCTACAGTTATATTTACTGAATAACTAGAATTACTGCCTCGCGGTTGTATGCCTCTGCCAAACAATCAAGTTTCAATTTATATTTATATCTATCAAGACTCATATGTATGTAGTAAAGACTTTCAAGGAACTGATAAGTATTTCATGTATTTTTTGGCAAAATGTGGATGCTTCACACATATCTTCAACCAGGCTCAAAAGAAGATCTATACAGTCTCTGCAGTTTCAAGATGGACACCCAAGATTAGTGTCACCATTTCCGCATCTGACCAAACGTATTCCCTTCTGTTCCTGAGATATGGTGCCGAATAATGGCCAGAAAAGGGTTTTTGCAGAACATTATGATGTCACAGTAAAGCTGACCTTTGACCTTTTAGATACAAAATGTCATCACTTCATTATGTTATCCTGTTAGACATTTGTGTGATATTTTGTCATAACTAGCATTTGAATTCTTGAGTGATGACCAGCATCGTGTTTTGTGAGGTTGACCTTTGACCACCAAATTCTAATCAGTTCATCGTCAAGTCCAAGTGGACGTTTGTGCAAATTTTGAAAGAAACCGCTCTAGGCGCTGAGGTATCACGTTCATTAGAACAGGATGGACACCACAAAAAACAATGTCTCCGACCACTGCTGTTGCAGGCACAAAGGCATAAAAATAGATCTTTTCATATCAGTAAATGTATCTAATGTCTGATTTATGGGTTCTACTCAGCAAACCTGTTCCTTGAAGAGACTAAGGGCTGTTTAACTTTCTCACTGTTTAAATAAATCACACACAGACAACAGGTAACTCTGAGCAAAGTCTACTAACATACAGTCTGCATGACTACAAAAAGTTGGGAGCCATCTTATGATTTACAAAGAAACAGGAAGGAAGGCAGGTGCATGCACACACTCGCGCACACACACACCAGCCCATGTGGTTGTCAGGATTTGGGAATGCTCTGATATTGACAAAGTGATAATGAAGCACACTGTTATTGTGTCACTTTGTTTAGACAGGAGGACAGAACAACACTTTCACTGAGGCTGACTACATGTCAGTTTTTCCTCTACAGTCAGTCAGCAGATATAGTGAATGGACAGTTCACTGCATCATAACAAAACATACACAGTAGTCCTGTGACTGGCACCCTGAATAAAGCTGGTATGAAAGTATGGAAAGAAATAGTTTCATGACCATAGAGCATGACAAATGTACTAAAGGCAGGACTTAAATATTGTAAACTGGTAGAGAGAGGGCAAGTGGAGATATTACGATTAAAACCTGTCTCACACGAACAGTAAACGACAAATGATAACAACAGTGTGTGTTCAGATTAATGTATACGCAGAGACACACACGCATCGGACTGGGAATTATTACTAGAACCAGCACTGTGTTGGCCTCAGCAGATCTGCAGAGCCAAAAAAAAAAAAAAAAAAAACACACACAGCACACTCCCATCCATTTCTGGTCCTCCCCCCTCCTCCACCCGCTCACACACACAAACTGCAGTGGTCTTACCATTCATATTTGCAGGTGGCAGAGGCAGAGAGGGGGAACTCCCGACGGCGTCCTCAGCTACTGCTCGCAGCCATCTGCAAAACACACAGTCACAGCCCAGTCATCAGTCAATACTGCAACTAAAACAGGATAGTGGTGTCATAGAGAGGAGGGAGAGAAAAAAGGCAGCGAGAGAGAGAGATTCTGGTCAGTCAGCAGAGTCAAACAGGGCTCCTCCTGTTCTCTTCAGTCAGGAGCACTCTGGCCACGTCCCAACGCTTTTAAACTACTGGGACATGCTCCAATACTATCCACGCTTATCACCGTAGTGGCCAAACACTAATACTACACAAGCTAGACTGATAAACCTTCATGAAGAAAACATTTACACTCACTGTCTTGGAAAATATGAATCCCTGTTCAGTACTATGTTGGCCCAGATTTAGGTTCTGGTGGCAGCTGACTGAGGTTGTGTCAGTGACCTGTGACATCTTGGTGTTAAGAAAACATCAGTTCTTCATGCTACTGCCCAGGTTTGATTCATGTTCATACTTTAGCTCAATGCAGCTAAATGCTAATGTCAGCATGCTAATATGGCTCACAATGGAAATGCTAACATGCTGATGTTAATAAATGTTGATGTTAATGTTTACCATATTCACCATTACATTTCAGTGTGTTAGCATGCTAATTACCAAAAAAACACATGGCACAGCTCAGACTGGTTCAAATGCCCTTAGTTTTGCAGTTATTTACTCGTAAATTAAAATATTTGTGAAATAAACATTTTGTCGTGATGTTGGCAACAGGTGAAAAGTCAGAGGATCACCAAAGGAATTAAAACTTATCCCCTGGAAACCATGAATGCCTGCACAATATTTTGTGCCAATCAATCCAGTAGATGTTTAAACATTTTACAAGATAAGTGAAAAATTTGGCCAGTTGTTGGCATTAGATGAAAAGTTGGATAATCATTTAAGTCCGTGAGATTCATCCTCTGGGTACTGAAAATGTCCTTACAACATTTTATGGCAATCTACCTAGTAGTTACTGTGATATCTGAGTCTGAACTTAAGCGGTGGTCAGACCGACTGACCAACAATGCCACCGAAGCAGCACACGTCTAAATGATTTCCAACCTGCCTTCCTGTCACCCATGACTACACCCTTCATAGAGTCTATTACATCATGCTTGACACCCACTCTTGTTAAGTCAAGCACATGCAAAGCAAGCGTGGGAATGCAGCTGCTGTTACATGTGTATTTAGTGCAAGGGTGAAGTGGTCTGTGTCTCCATTTGTTTTAGTTTACTACAATAAAGATTTTACGAGCTGGCTAGAGAGCTTTGCAGAGTTATTGTCCTTTACATTTTTGTATTTTTGAATAATTAGACCTAGGGAGGGCTTGGCACAGAATTATATGGCCATATTTTGCATGTATTGTATCAATACATGGACACCAGGTATTGTGTGTCATATCTAGGGGCCTCTGGTGATTCCCACTCCAATTCTCTGGGATTGTTGGCAGGAGCCCTGTGGTAGGTAACAACATGTTATATGTACTAGAGTACATGTCGACAGACTAAATGTACCATGCATTGGTTCCTTGTTGACAAAAGACTAGTAACTTCTATCATGGTAGCAGGGTACAAAATTAGCATCATCCACTGGTCATATACTGGTAAAAGTGGCTGGTAGATTTGCTTCACCCATCAGCCAAGAAAAACAATGGTAATCTACTGAGCAGCTGGTAACATGTTGAACATTCTCAGCCATTTCACTGGTGGACTAAAAAAGTTAATTTTACAACCTGCATGCTGGGCTTGCCAGCATATTTATAGGTAGGTGAACTTATCTCACTGCATCTTAAATGGGGACACTGTGAATCAGACGATCATGTTTCTTCTTTCACGTTCACTTCATTACTGGCATGCTGAACACCTGCTTCCACCATATCTCCCTCTGCCATCAGCCAGTCAGGCTCACATGATGTAGTCGGAGGAGGAAAAGGAGGAGAGAAATTCCAATCTTTCTGCTCAACACTTCCTGCCCGGTAACCCACAGACACAAGCATTTCCTTGTCCAACGTCAGTTGACAGGAAGTGATCATGGATTTTGGCAGAAGGACAGCTTTGATGTCCCAGAAAATATGAGCTGGAGTCAAAGCGAGGGTTGGGACTGGGCTGTACAAGAATTACAGATTGACGAGTGATTTTTTTAGGAAGCTAAATGACTAATCGCTAACCTGTTCGCTGATACGAGCACATGAAAGAGAACATGAATAAGATGAAGAGAGAGATTATGAGAGGGGGAGAAAAACAATGAGAGTGTGGGTTTTTGTGAATGCGGTCTAATCGATGCTCTCACGGGCAGAGAACAGCAAGGGACGGCTAATCTACTGCCTGCCATCTGTCGCTCTCCTTCTCCTTCACTCCTCCTACGTCAGGTGCTCCTGTAGGTCATCCTCATGCTTTCAGTTTTTTTGCCTTATGTTCTTTAATTCTGCCCTTGTTCTTCATATGCAGACTTTATCAAATATTGAAATATGAGTGTGAAATATGGTGACCGTTTTCAGCAGGAAGTTATGTTTGCATCAGTCCTTACACAGACACAGTCAGACTGCATTTTTTTGCAGTAGAAATAACACCACTTAGTAAAGTATGGATTATATAACTAGTCGGAAAAAATGTCTTGAACTTAAGCACATTATATTGGCCCAATTTTCTGCACCACATTAACCATTATCACATGAAATATAGAGCCTGACCAACACCAACTGAGTGGTTTGTCACAAGCATCCATCACGTCTGGTCATCACAGACCAAACGTGGACAACGTTTCAAAACTTTTCCACGACTGTTTCAAGGGCCCATAATAGAATTTCCATGGCCATTAGCAATGTATAACACGAACGGAAGTATACAGTGTATTTTACTTCAAATATATTAGGCAGTCTGCGGACGCGGAGTAGTAGAGCTTATCAAAACAGGCATTAGTGCTCTGAGACACAAATGAGCACCCAAGGCGTGGTACAATTTAAAAGTATTAATGATGCATAGGTATGGAAACTTTTCAATTCATGACCCTACATGGTAAATCACACTGTTGAAAAATTATTTTTCTTGCCAACCTTGCCCTACATTATTCAAACATATTAGATTAAAACTCTATTCAAACAAAGTACCGACTAGCTGGCACACATGGAGGAGAAGACGGACTGCGGGGAGAAAATTGAGAATCATACGTGATGGTAAACAAAACGTCACGACTCACACATTGACACATGCTTGAGCTATATCGTACACCTACATAAAATAAATTTGTTTACATTATGCGGCAGGTTATCCACCAAAAATTACTCTAACAATTCCATTACACACAACAAGATTCCATGACTTTTCCAAAAGTTTCAAGGATTTTCCTTCGACTTTTTTAAGCCTGGAAAGCAAGATTGTGAACTCTATGACTTTTCCAGGTCTAGTCGTGGAGTGTAACCTCTGGTAATATAACGCTGTAGGAATTATAATGAATAAATGAAAGATAGCATTGAACTGTCAGCTTTAGGGTTTAATTTTTCCAGAGTGACAGTGGAGTCTGACTTTTCCTGCCTGGATGCCTGCCTGACCAACTGACCGACTGAACGACTGACCACTCCTCATGCAAATCCTTCCTGAGGGCTCCACCTACCCTAGTAAATAACTTCAGCTGTACTTCACCTGCAATGCAAGACCTATTAAAAACCACTAAAAACAAGGTTTGAGAACAGACTCCAGGCTACAGGAAGGCGTCTATGTATGAAGGCCTGATGCTATGTTTTGGTAGCGTTACAATGGGCACCATAGAGAAGGGGACATAAGTAATACCTTTACAGATTACACAAAGTTTTCATTTTTTACATAAGGGTTTGCCTGATCGTCAAACAGTCTGAGCAATTTTCATAAGCTCAGAAATAGCTTTTCAAAACACACTGTATAGTGTGGACACTACATCCTTGTAATGGCTAGAGACTGGCAACTGAAGCAAGACTTTGATTTCCTCCCAGCTCTAGCTACACCTTTGCATGATGCTGCATTTAATTTACAGTACTTTTCAAGGTCTGGCCCAATGCTAAGCTTGTGTAAGCCCATCCTGGTGTTCACACCCACACAGTAGTCCCATTTACAGTTGTCATGGTTGAATATATAAATAGACATATGACTCATATTGGGTCCTAACCTGTAGTTTATGAAACAAGTCTTCCACAGTCACGTCTTCAACATCAGCTACAGTGCCCTCCAAAAGTATTGGAACAGTGAGGCCAATTCCTTTATTTTTGTTGTAGACTGAAAATATTTGGGTTTGACATCAAAAGATGAATATGGGACAAGAGATGAACATTTCTGCTTTCATTTCCAGGTATTTACATCTGGATCTGATACACAACTTAGAAGATAGCACCTTTTGTTTGAACCCACCCATTTTTCATGAGAGCAAAAGTATTGGAACATGTGACTGACAGGTGTGTTTTGTTGCCCAGGTGTCTCCCAATTACATTGATTATTCAAACAATAAATAGCACTGGATGTCTGAGCTCAGTTTCAGATTGGGTACGATAGGTTTTGCCTGTGCAGACTGCATTTAGAGGTGGAACCAACATGAAAACCAGAGAGCTGTCTATGGGTGAAAAAGAAGCAATTGTGAATCTGAGAGAAGATGGACAATCAATCAGAGCCATTGCACAAACATTGGCCATAGCTAGTACAACCATTTGGAATGTCCTGAAGAAGAAAAAAAACACTGGTGTACTAAGCAACAGACGTCGAACAGGTAGACCAAGGAAAACATCAGCAGTTGATGACAGAAACATTGTGAGAGCTGTAAAGAAAGACCCTAAAACAACTGTTAGTAACATCAGCAACAACCTCCAGAGGGCAGGAGTGAAGGTATCACAATCTACTGTTCGCAGAAGACTTCATGAACAAAAGTACAGAGGCTACACCAGATGATGCAAACCACTCATTAGCAAGAAGAATAGGAAGGCCAGGCTGGAATTTGCCAAAAGGTACAGAGATGAGCCTCAAAAATTCTGGGAAAAGTTTTATGGACTGATGAGACAA